TATATATATATATATATATATTGCTTATAATAAATATTTAAGGTCTTCTTAGATGTAAGAGAATTCCCAGTTCCACCGTTAGGATCAGGGTCTGAAAGAACTGGAATTTGTTTTCATATTTCTGGAGGCAGATTGTTTCAAGAGTTTAGAAAATTGGACCATTAGATTGGGGCAAATAGTGGGTTTATATGAACTTCGTCACAGTAGAATAACCTTCCTTTTTGAATGTTACCTTTTTCAGGTCTGGAATTTACTGTTTTAGCATTAAATTCCAGGACATGGAAACAGATTTGTTGGAGACCATTCAGACCATTCATTCAGATGTGTCTGAGAATCTCTTGGACAAAAGATGTTGCTTTCCAGTAGTTCTTGAACAAGAACTGAAAAGGGCTTGAACAAGGCTGAAAAAGGCTGTGACCCTCTTGCAAAACATGCCCCAACCACAAGAATCTGCAGTCTAACAAACTGATTAAAAAATCAATATAAAAACCAAAGAATTAATTAGCCAGAGTTTAATAACTAGAAATTTTCCCCAGTTACACATTGTTTGACATTGTACACTGGTATCATAACTCTGCTAGACTGTTCTTTATGTACACTGTCATTGCATAAAACCTGTAACCCTTTGAGATGTGGATTTAAAAGATTAAGTCTGAAGAGGAATGTAACGCCAGTATTTCACACCAGAAATATATCTAGCTGTGAATGGAATCTAACAGTTCTCTACACTTACTCATCTGAAAAAAAAAAGCAAACATTCCTGAAACCTCAAAGTGAACAATTACGGAAATTTTCTCCTAGCACCTATTAAATAGTATTTGAATTATAAACAGAACTGTGAGAATACATATTTTTTTCATTGTTTTACTTTCTGCTATTGATGCTATTTTTCTGTGAATATTCTCACTATTCCTTGCAATATTTAATCCTTATTAGAATCATTGGTTTCAGTGTGATCAGTAGCTCAATCTTGCAATATTTAAAGAAATATATTTCTGACCTTTGACTTCACTCAATGTTACTTATGTACATATGTTAACAGAAAACATTTATATGTCCCAGAGTTTTCTTTTCTCATTATTCAAATTATAAAGACAAACCTGGTAGAAATTAGTTTTCAAGGCTTTTACTTAGAAAATAGCAAAATTTATAAATTTTATTAATCTGTAGAAAAGGAAAGGAATATTCCAGGGAGATTGAGACCTGGACTGGAAAAAAAAATGCTGTGTGTATACATATATATATATATATATATATATATATACACACACACACACACAAAATATCTTTATGCGTTAGATATTATGTTTATGCAAAAATTAATTCTGGGCTTGCTCATCAAAACAAAAACAAGTAATTGGAAAGCGCACTGGATTTGGACCAAATACTCATTTGCAATCTTGGTTTCTTTGTTCAGGCATCAGTTCTGCTGAGTATTTACATTGCAGAATATAAACTAATTTATGGCACTTACATCATTACCTAACGTGCTGTTAATCATCTCCCATGCTGTGAAATGCTATAAAATAGAGCCTTTCTCTGGTTTGGAATGTTCTTGATTCATTGCTTACACTTTTGCTTTAAGGAACTGAAACGGATGTTTTCAAGATGCTGTCTATATATCTAATGGGACTCTGAGATGAAGAATAACACAAACATGCTATACACAGATACTTCACACTCTTTCTGTATTAACTTCCCTTTAGGGTCATTTTATTTCCCTTAGTAGGATAACTGCTATAACAAATGGAGGGACATTTTGTACTGGTTACAAATGCATTGAAGAGCATCACAAAGAAAACACGGAATTCCCTGGTAGCATGGTGCACCATGAAAAGCATGGTACACCTCATTTTGTCAGAGAATAACATAGTGAAAATCCTCTCTGCTGTCTTCAATGATATAAATATTGGTTGGAGACAAAGTGTGATGTCCTCTGGTATTTTATTAGTTATGAAGGTTGTTTATGCTGCTGACTTTACTTTCCCCCAAAGTCTATACCCTCTTCATTGTTCCTTCTGAAAATCAGTATTTGTAGTAATTATGTTATTTAAGCTGTATTCAACATGGATTTATCTCTTCTGAAGGATGATGAAGTATCAAACTCGTGTTTTACCACAGAGTGGTCAGTGGCAGTGGAGCTTTTCCACCTCTTATTAGCAAGCTTCAGCTGAGAAGGGTGGACTCTGCAACTACTAAGTATGGCTAGATTCAGTAGCTTGGTCAATGATATCCATAGTCCTTTTTGCTATGACTATAATTGTGTGCATATTTTGGTCTTGATTTTTTTTGTTTACTTTTCTATACAGATTTCATACTTCCACTTCTAAGGAACTAGATATCAGTGCAAACTCATTGCACTGTAATAGTAAAAATCAATAAAGATTTTTACTATTATTTTTATGTATATTACTTACCTTAAATAGTATATAACATTATTAGTGTATATAAAGACATAAGTGTTTGTATATGTTTATGTACTCATCCACTTCACAATGCTGATGCAGATAGCAGCTTCCACTGCATTCAGAACCTTCCTAATCTTCAAACACATCACTTTTAAGAAGTAAAAAATTGTGATTGTATTAAAATTGCAAGTAGTGATAAATCTATTTCTGGAAAGCTTAAATTTTGAAATCCCATCATGAAAACTAATATTTGTCCACAATGAAAAGATGAATGAAAGGATAAAGAAACAATACAGAAAGATGCAGTCAGGTCTGCTATCACATGCAAGGACAGAGAGACGATGCTTTTTGCTTTAAATATGGCTCACAGTATTTATGGATCAGTAAGTATTGCAAGTCAATTTGTGAGAGTATGGAGAGCTTGTAGGACTTCTCCCTCATTTATAGATTGCAATAAATTGATCTTTTAATGTTAATTTTCTTATTTTTCATGTAGAAACTGTATTTCAGTGTAGATCTGTCATATACTACCACAATCTATCCTAAAGTTGGATACCTTTCGTTAATAAATTAAGTAATTATCATTTATAGGCTTCTCCAAGCTCCCTAAAAATCTCATTTGGGATTTTAGTCATCAAAGGATAATGAACTATCTTCTCAGATAGTGTAAGTCTTATACAATTGCATTGATTGAAATTGTCTTCACTGAGAAAAAAAGAAATATGATCCTCACATTGAGTGACTAACTCAGTTTAGTAATCTCAATATAAAGTTCTAAAAGACATAGAAGACAGATTTTTATCTGAATACAGATAATTGCTGTGAGTGTAAGCAGAGGACAGGTGTTTTCTTGACTAGGATTACTGTTGTGTTTCTAGTCTGTTAAGCTACGTACCTCAGAATAAAAAATGCATTTTTGTTTTTTCTTTGAAAAAGTAAAACCAATCCCTGAAATTCTTCTTTTCTTTTTTTTTTTTTTTTTTTTTTTTTTTTTTTTTTTTTTTTTTTTTTTTTTT